TAGATAGAGCTGAGGATCACATACGATCAGGAGAACCTCCCTAGAATGAGCACCAAACTGACAACCTTTAGAACAAGGGGTGAAATTATACTATGGGGGAAAGATGAGTGAGAGAGTTACAATGGGGAATGGTTTAACTGGGAAGACGTTCGTGTACTTCATATTGACAGCCATCCGCGAGTGCGAAGAGAGCACCCGGTTTATTTACATTAAGGACATTTTACAGACACCAGAAATCTGAAAACGTGAGAAACATTACATCCAACCAAAACTGATGAGCTTTCAAATCAACATCGGTAAAGTATAAGGAAACACAAGGATCGAAAACAAATCAGGCCATTATATCCTATGTGAAAGCGACGATGATGAGAAATGTGAGGAAGAAGAAAAAGATTATTCGCTACCCTCAACATCAGCGTGAATCATCCAACATCGGTGCAAAATCACAGGATTACATGTTGGAATTAAATTGCCGAAAATTTGGCATTGTCCTCAACTGCCGCTGTACGCAAGCGATTTTCCAATCCACGACTAGGCTGCTCCCGATGATCATTCTGCAATCGGTTCCAAACGAGGACGTACCGGTAACTGTCTACTAGTAGCGGGATCGGCTATCTTCGACACTGACTAACCGTTCACTCACTGAAGATCCAACAACCCGCCAGTCAGACTTTGTCCCTCATGCTGAAACCGAATGCTGTTCAATCCACAGGTATCCACAGGTCAATGGGAATTTTTGCTGAATAATTTTCGATGAGATGTCTGTGGCGGCCCCTTTAAACTCTGGGCACTGCGGTCGTTTGATTTGAAGAAGAGTCGGGCTCACAACAATCAAGAATGAGCAAGCTGCTCCTCCGCAGCTGATTCGCCCACGGCACACGACCAACAAGAAACCACCGGCAATTAATATCTGATTGGCCAACTAGCATACGACAAATAGGAAACTGTCCAATCCTGGAGACCCATCGGCCCGTTGGCCGTAACCAACACTAACTGTAACTCCCTTTGTACCGGATATGTTGACGCGCAAGTACCTGTCTGCCAAAATAAGCCTTTCGGAATCGAACCGCAGTGAAGTGTCACATATGCAAAGCAGCCAAATCCGCGGACGTGTCGGTCACGGTCTATTTTCTCGTCATTAGTGGCTGCCCAATAACCTAGCACGGTTCTTTTAGAGGACTGGTAACTCTGAACTCAGTTCCTGATAATACTGTAAATTGGCCAAATTGTTTTGCATTAGACAACTAGGTAAAGAATTCACGAATTCCTGTAGCACCAGCAAAACTTCATTACCATATCCGATTGTCAGGTACACGGCAAAGTGTAAGTCGATGGATCGCATGGCGAATACCGTAAACCGGCTGACTAAATAAGCACCTTCGAGAAACATCCAGAATGTACAAGAAACCGTAGAGTACATTATGATCGCCAAGATGCATTTGCACAGCCAGTCCTGAAACGGAAACGAAGTAAATCAGATGACGTAATAATGTCAGCTGACCGTGGAAACAAAAAATGAAAGACATACGATTTTTTGTGGATTCACTCCGGTGCATCCCTGAAATACTTGGTGACGCTGCAGCACTATCCACAGCACGTACACGACTGAACGAATGATGAACGCCATCGCCAGATGCTTGTGGATTGTCAACCGGCGGCACTGTATGTTCCTTTATAAAAGGAAGAGGTGAACAGAAACGCTAAACATGTTTCGAGAAACATCAGCTCACAGAAACTAATAATTACCGCTTGTCTGACCATATGAGATGGTTGTTAATTAATCGTCTTGCTTCCCTGTTTACGGTAAGGTAAAAATTATTTCACATTCTTCTGTTGAGGAGGAGCAGTCTTGGCGAGACTGATGGAAGAACCAGACAATGACTGATTTGTGAAGTGTGAGGATAGGAAAAATGACACTTTACATCAACTGGCTAATCAGAACCAGGACGTGCAAGCACTTCAAAGGTGTCATGCAATACGTAATGTTGCGTGCAACCTATATCAAACCTGTAATTCTTCAAACAGAGGAAGATGTCTATCGTTTGATTGCTGAACTGGCCCCCTGAGAACAACAGGATGGTAGGGCTATTTGTTTGAGTCATTCGTTTTGGAAGGACAGGAAATTATGGAAAACTGAAATGTTGGTCTTCCTTACACTTTTATGAAGGGGTCATTTTCGACGCCCTTTCGTTCATGAAGTTATGGGCGAGGTGCTGATCTAGATTTTCCATGCGATTAGCCATGAATGCTTGCGTTTGCGTAATGGCACAGTCGACAGCAGACATATGGCAAGCACAGTGTTCAGTCTTTTCTACCCATCCAGCGGAGTGGCACTAAAGTATCATCATGCATTAACGTCGGAAGGTGAGGAAATG